ACTACTAGGACTGTCCAAGTGAGCTCCAGCTGGGCGTGTGCTCTGGATCCCTGAACTATGGCTAGGGCTGTCCCTGGGTGGGGCGAATCAGGATGACCACCGTGGGCCCCATGCTTTGGGGGGCCCCATAGAGCAGGGTGGAGCCGCGGTGGTATGGAGCTAGGCAGCTCTGCATCTTTGCTTCCAGCCGTTCGCTATCCACCGCCCCCCCCGCCGATGTTGCCAATGGCGGCGGCAGCTTCTTCGGGTCCAGGGCCTGTCGGATCAGAGTGGGGGAGAGGCCCTAAATGGGCTGAGTTGCCCAAGGCCCCACACACCCTGCTTGGGTCAGCTCTGACTAAGGCAAACATATACAAACATGAGATATATACATAACAATTTTTGTCAAGCGTGACAGGTTGGTATGCAGTGCTTTTACATGGTGTGAAAGGCTTTTACGTGCCCTCTTTAACTTGAGTGTTCTCTTTCAATTCCCTGCATAAAAATGGAGACATAGCAACCATTAAAACACAATGTAGCAAGCATGCCAATATAAATTATACTAAACCAATTATAAGTTACATGGGGGAAGAGGGACTAACTAGCCTGATATACACCAGCCAGGTCCAGGGAGCTCCACCCATTATTTAAACAGGGCTTTCCAACTGGTAGCCCAGGTGGGGTTAAGTTGCAGCCTCCAAGATGCTGCTAGGCTGCTGCTCCCCTCTTCGCTCCAGCTGCAAAAACAGACAGAGTCTCTGGGCTCCATCTTCCTCCTCCAGCTTCTACTTCCTGTCCCTGGCCCAGTAGGCAGGGCAGTGCGGCATGATGTGCTGTGACTAGAGCTGATGGTTAGCTCTAGGCCATGTGAGCACTCGATGTGAGTGTAGGAGGGACTGCCTCCACAAATGCATGATGTGGCAGTCACAGGGTAGGAGAAGAGGAGGCATCCACATGGTATACAATCTGGTAGCCTGTGGTTTGCCCTGGTGTGGCCTGCAGGCATGTGCCCTCATGCCCCATAGAAGCTTGACAACCCTGATTTAAGTTTTAAAGAGAACCCCTATATTTCTCCAACTGCAATATGGTAGGCACTTTGTAAGAAGACAGAAAAACAGCACACCCTGTATGAGCAAAATATGTACCCCATTATCTTTCAAGGATGTGCCTGTGCATTATTCCCTAATTCTAATCTTCTTAGGTTGCCAAACAGAACAGAGTAATGGTAAAACTAACTAATGCAATAGTGTACGTTGTAGTGATCAGTTCCACAGAACCCTGCTTTCTCCTTCACCTCATGACTCTTTACAACCAAACCTCAATCTCTCTTTCCAGGTGCAGGGGAATGAACAAAAATCTAATGACTCCTACAAACTAAAAACTTCTGCAACAAGCACTGCATGAAGCAATCCAATTCACAGCTGCCTTTCATATAAAGATGTATCTTTCTAAATTTTGGATCTCAAGCTTATGGAGGGAAAAGAGATGATGAAATTTTGGGGGAGATTCAGAGAAAAGTAGAAAGGGGCAACAGAGGGGAATAAAAAGGAGAACTGGAGAGTGATGGGAGCAAAAGCACAGAATATTCATTTGCCTTCAACTTTCTAGAGTCATTTGAAAGGTATGAGTCTTATGAAAGGTACAGAAGGTGTGGACCTTAAATGACTCTTTGGGACGGATTTCTTCTCTTCTTTCAGCTGCATGCACTACACAGAATCTTTCTGGCAGAAAAACAAGGCAACAAAAGCTTTAGCATATGGCCAAGTTTCTATGTAGTGATTATGTGACATGTTTACTTAAATATTCAGAATCATAGAAAATTAGGATTGGAAGGGACCTCAGGAGCTCATCTAGTCCAACACCCTGCTCAAAGCAGGACCATCCCCAACTAGATCACCCCAGCCAAGGCTTTATCTAGCCACGTCTTAAAAACGTCCCAAGATGGAGAGTCCACCACCTCTCTGGGTAACCTGTTCCAGTGTTTTACTACCCTTCTAGTGAGAAAGTTCTTCCTAATATCTAACCTAAAGTTCCCTTGCTGCAACTTGAGACCATTACTCCTTGTTCTGTCATCTGCCACCATTGAGAACAGTCTAGCTCCATCCTCTTTGGAACTACCCTTCAGGTAGTTGAAGGCTGCTATTAAATCCCCTCTCAGTCTTCTCTTCCCCAGACAAAAGCAGCCGAGGTACCTCAGCCTCTCCTCATAAGTCATGTGCCCTAGGCCTCTCACCATTTTCGTTGCCTTCCACTGGACTTTCCAATTTGTCCGCATCCTTTCTGTAGTGGGAGTTGGGAGGGGCAAAACTGAACACAGTACTCCAGATGTGCCCTCACTAGTGCTGAATATAGGGGAAAAATCAGTTCCATCAATCTGCTGGCAATGCTTCTATTAATGCAGCCCAGTATGCAGTTAGCCTGAGATGACCTGAGCAGGGTGTGGGGCCGGGGTAAATCGGCCTGTGCAGGGCCCCACCCCTGCGTGCCTTGAACGTGAAGAAGGTAGCGGCGGATGGGGTGGTAAGGGGCTGGACATGAAGCCAGTATTGGTGGTGGCACTGAGTCACTGTGGCTGCTCCTCCTGGCTCCGCGGGGCCCCCCAAAGTGCAGGGCTGGGGCGATTGCCCTGATTGCCCTCTCTCCCCCCACCCCCCACCCCGGACGGCCCTGCAGTTAGCCTTCTTCACATCAGGGGCTTGTATTCAGCTTACTGTCCACTGTTACCCCTAGGTCCTTTTCTGCAGAGCTGCTGCTTAGCCAATCGGTCCCCAGCCTGTACCAGTACGTGGGACTGTTCCATCCTAACTGCAGGACTCTGCACTTGTTCTTACTGAACTTCATGAAATTCCTTTGGAACCAATTCTCCAATTGTCGAGGTCTCTTGGAATCCTAGTCCTACCCTCCAGCATATCTACTATACCCTCCAGCTTGGTGTCATCTGCAATACTGAACAAAACTGGCCCCAGGACCAACTTGATATCAGCAGCCAACTAGCCATCAAGCCATTGACTACTACCTTCTGAGCCTGACCATCCGGCCAGTTTTCTATTCACCTTAAAGTCCATTCATCTAAACCATACTTCCTTAGCTTGCTTGTGAGAGTGTTGTAGGAGACTGTATCAAAAGTCTTGCTAAAGTCACGGTATACCAACTTCACTGGTCTCCCTGAACCCACAGACCCAGGCATCTCATTATAGAGGGCAATCAGGTTGGTCAGGCATGACTTGCCATTGGTGAATCCATTCTGACTCTTCCTAATCACTTTCTTCTACTCCAATGCTTAGAAATGGGTTTCTTGAACACCTGCTCCATGATTTTTCCAGGGACTGATGTGAGGCTGACCAGTCTGTAATTTCCTGGATCCTCCTCCTTCCTTTTCTTAACGATGGACAATATGGGTGCCCGTACACAAGCATGGAGGCTGCTCTGACATGCTGTCAATACAGCACATTGAAGCAGACTCAATTAATCAAGGCTACTGGAGTGTGGCAATTATTGTGCTCCAGCCAGCCTCCATGGCTTGCGTATCAGCTCATGTATCCACATTTGACAAGCTTTAGTTCAAGCGCACCTGCTGGCCATTTTGAAGTGCAAGGACACTGATATACAAGACCATGTGGTGCTCTCAGAGCCACTCTAATTAAAGCACCACCCCTCTCACCCCCAAAGCATGTGTAAAAGTGCCCTATATTTGCCCTTTTCCAATCATCTGGGACTTCTTGATGGGAATTAAGATTTCAGCGGAGTTGTATGGGAGATGATGTATGTTGTTTATACCTTAAATGTATAGTACAAACATATAAAGAAAGGAAATGGAAAATAATCCAGTATAATATTATATCTGTGGATAAAAATGTAGGCAATCAAGAAAGAATGAATATATAGCATGCATGCTAATACACAAAAAATGAGGAGGAACATTAGTAAATAAACATTTTGGTTTATTGTGTTCCAGACTATTAGGACATTTGCTACATTTTGCTTATACTATGGAAACTGGGCCACAAAGTGAATAGTCATTCTCATAATAATCATAATTTGCCCAAATCCCACATAGAAATACAAGTCTACATGAACATACAAGTGTGCATATGTGTAAGAAGAAGTGCATGACTTTTTTTTTTTTTTTTTTTCAAACTTCTTCCTAGCAGATGCAACCTTTAAGGAATAATTTCTGCTCCTCTACCAAGGTCTCTGGATTTAATGATGGAACATTCATCAAATGTTTGTTTGGAGTCTGCATGGGCTGGTAGATCTCATGGTGCTACTAGTGGCAAATACAGTGAGCCCTATTTATACTCCCAGGCCCAAAGTCTAATAAAGAATGAAGAAGCTGACCTCAAACCTGTGCTGTGAACAGGCACTGGAGCAGATCTGAAAGTGAACAAACAAGTAAATGTTGTCTGAAAGGGGTTTTTTGCACCTTTTTCCTGTTGGGGAGTAGCTATGAGATGAAACCTCTGGAACAGATGAGGTAAATTGGGTTGCAAATGAAGTGAACTCATAGGTTGCAAGGCATATTTTTCATATCAAACACTTAACAAGGGACAGAAGGAGTGGAACTTTACCACAGTTGTATTCATTAACGCCATGTGCCCCCAGAGGCTGGCGGGGGGGGGGGGGCAGGCTGCGGCGGGAGCATGGTGACAGTAAATGGGGAGCTCCAGCAGGCAGCTGCAGTGCTGTTGGTGGCAGGGAAGGTGGCAGGTGCTGCCAGCAGTGTCGGCAGTGAGGTGCGGTAGCGAGTGGCAGTGTCAGCAGCACCTTTTCACACAGGATGCACTGCCACACTGAGAGGGTGCATGTGCATCCGCATGCACCCTCTGCATGTTGCCAATGGTTGGACTGAATTAAAACCAGAAAGGTAGCCTCATCCTCTCCTTTGGTAAGTAGAGAGAGAAGGGTTTTTTTTTTCTCCTGTAAGAGTTTCTATTACTCTAGAGGACTTCCTTCAGGGGTTCCTCACAGTATAACTCAGCGGAAAATAAAAACTGTCCAACTGGGGTGAAGTCACATGTTACACTTAGACCATACTAAGTCTATGGAATGTTAAGCAGTGTTAAAGTTAGAATGTGATGTGAGCAGTTGCATGTTAAGTGTAAATACTATTTATTGCCTACATAGCTATGACTTGCCATTGGAGGGCTGGTAAGCAGGGTTCTGGCTAAAAGCTGAGATACCTGGTGGGGACGGGCTGGGGTGGTGCATCCCAGGGCACAGGAGCACTGCAAATTGCTCTTATCTTTGTGGAGCAGAGTAGTTACTCTACCGTCAGCTAGGTAACACAGCCTGGAATTAACCCCCAGCTGAAGGGGTATAACTCTGAGATACTCAGAGAACACTTAGCATAAATTAATGAGTTTTAACATGTGGATGCTGGTGTTTTAAGTGCCCTGAGTATGGTTTAAGAGTAATGCGCAACTTCACCCCAAGCAACATTTTCTTAGAACCTAAGTGGACTCCTTTGCTTCTCTCCACTCCAAAGCAGAGCCTGTAATTGGCCAGTGCTAAGCCTTGGATAGCAGCAGCGTGAGGTGTGGGGGCAGCAACCGCAGGTTTGCTAATGTTGAGGGGAGATGTTACTTCCTTTTTTGGCACCAACTGTGTCAAGCAGCCAAAAAAACCCACCGTTCTTGGTGGCAAAAAATGAGGTGACATCTCCGGCAGGAGCAAAACCACTGGCTGCTATCCTGCATTGTTTACCACTGCTGCTGCTGCTATTCTGCTGGAGGGTGCAGGGAGTGACAGAGACATGGGAAGCTGAGGCTCCATACCAGCTCTATTAGGGCACTCCCCATCCCCTTGCCTTCCCATCATTACGCTACTGCTCCAAGGTCTCTAGCAAGACAAGGAGAAGGCCAGGACTTGATAAGATGTTAGCAACTATCTGAGGAGTGGAGGCAATGAGAAAAGACAAATATATTTGTTCTCAGGTATGTATTTTCTGTGGGGTTGCCAAGGAAGAAATTGTTTGCAGCTGCCAACAGCTGGTTAGGATTAGGCTTCTGCACAGGGTTCATCACAGTGAAAGCATTTTACTAGGATGCCCTGTTCTGGGCATATGAGTTCACTGTTCTACACAAGGGAAATGGTCAAAAATCTCACCAGGAATTTAGTTGCCTGAACTACCATTACAATCTTTAGGATTCTCTCCCGCATACCTGAAAATTGTAATTCATCTGTCAGGCAGCAGTGTCAGCTTTTACTTTTACAGGAAAGAGGAACTTTTCTTGGAATGGTTTGCAATTAGAAAGCAGATAAAGGTACTGGGACTCTATAGCAACCATTGCTGCTATCTCTGTTAAGCCTGTGACTATTTACTTCCACAATAAAAATATTCATGAAACGTATGTTCTGCATCAGGCTTCTTATTATGCTGTAGTGTTGTTGCTGGCAGTTAAAGTTTACAGTAGCTTTAGGATTTGGAATGATGAATTTAAAGGCATCACTTAACTGTCTGAGTAAGTAACCTAGCAGAACATTTCTCCAACATATTTTATTTAGGTCCCAGGCAGGGTAACTGTAGCTATTCCAGGCAGCTGCACACTTGATTTATATCAGACTCTACCAAGCATTCTAGGGCTGGCTGCAAGATGAAGAAATGCTTATACTGTGAATCTCGTGATTGCGGTACTGAGTTCAGCAGAGATCTTCGTTAGGTACAACATGGGAGAGGAAAGCAGGTATGTTTAAAAGCCAGAGGTGTGGAATAATAGAGAAGGATTTTGATCTGAATTGTCTTGGATATAATAGGATTCTAGTATTGGGCAGATTTACTGGGACTGCACTGTCATGCCAAAAAGAGTTTTGAACTATAGTAGCAAGCTTTTTCAGGGCCAAACGGTTCTTTTTTTTTCTTTTTGTCTTTTTTCTTTTTTTATCAGCTGCAGGAGTATTTGCAAAACATTCAGGAACATGACTTACTTGGGAGACCAACTGAAAAGAGGAAGGTTTGTTCAGCTTTTGTGTAGTGGGGAAGCAGTGACCCTAACAGATTGACAAGAGAATCTTATCAGAAGTTTGTTGATCCCATCTTTATGGTGATTTCCTGAGCTTTCAATGGGCCAAAATTAGAGGCATATTAGGACTGTCCATTTATGAAGTCTTTCTGATATTTACAGGAAGAAGAAGGATTTTGAAAATATCAGGAAATAGACATCTGTTGTCTTTTTGAGCAAGGATTATAAACGTTTTGCTTTTATGTCACCCAAAGGACTGGTCAAGACAACAGGGAAATTAGCACTTCCCAGTCAGTCTAATGCAGCTAAAGGTTACACACTGGCAGAAAATCAGTGCATTTGTGGTAAGCGTTTAAAAATCAGCAATGGAGAGAATGGAAGGTCGTTTTTGGCTTTACATCAGCTCAAAGGTTTTGAAAAATTTAACCTACATGACTTCTGACTTATCTTATCTCAGTTTTACTTTCCTTCAAAGGTTGTTAGCTGTTTAGGGATCTTATATGATCAATTGATCATGCACTATGCAACCCTTTAGCAAATGGAAGAAACAATACAGGTAACATTTCCAGGTAAGATGAATTTTCCCTTTCATTCCATTTTTGTACTTTAATTCTCTGAACTCTTACTGTAGGCAGTGCAGAGTAATAGGGGATTTCAGGGGTTAAATATACAGACTGGTCAATGTAAAAATTTCAGTCAATCAATCAATGAAAACATATGCTCCTATGAATACCACCACAGAGCTGGCAGACAATGAAAATAAAGATGGATTTTTTATGCCACAAATGTTATCGCAGAATAGTGATTGACAAGAGTAAGAGCAAGGCCCTTTGGGCAGGAATTTCAGAGCTCCTTTGCTGTGCCAGCATATTCATTTGCACATTATTGTGAGTCTTCTTGAGATAACCGTCTTTTCACAACTAACATTGGATGGTGACTTAGTAATTGAATAGAACTGAGAGAAAGTTTTTTTTTTCTGATGGGTTAAGGTAGTGAGGTAGAAGAGAAAGCAGCATCAGTGAAATTAATTAAAATGTTCCTTGCTACTTTAGCATGTAGATCCTCCACCTGGTAAATAGTTTGGTTAAACTGCCTTATTTTTTCACATGCTATTAACCAGTAAAAATGAAGAGTCTACCTCCAAGTTAAGAAAAGGCATGTATATTACGTTTAGAGATAAATGGTCTGTGACAATGCCCAGACCCCCAGGGGTGGCTGCAATGCCCCTGTTGGCCATGTGGTCCCTGCCCCACTATGGCCCTTGGGATACCCTCCCTTTTTGAACCTAGCCTTGATGTTTCTTATCGAGTATAGGGAGGCTGCCCCTAGAACAGGGGTAGGCAACATTTTTTGGCCAGAGTGCCGACAAAACCACAATGTCTACCTTGGAAGGCGCCAGAGTGCCAACATGCTGGGGCCCAGAGCAGCTGTTTGCAGCCTCCCAGCTGCAGCCAACCCTTGCAGCAGGGCTTGCAGCCCCCCAGCTGCCTGCTAGGAGCAGCCTGGGCTCTGTGGCTGGCGGCAGCTGCTTAGAGCCCAGGCTGGCGGTGGTATGCTGAGCAAAATGGTCTTGCATGCCATGCTCAGCACACATGCCAGGGGTTGCTGACTCCTGCCCTAGAGCATTAAGCAGTGGCCCTTGGCCTTGTCAGTGCCTTAGGGCACCAGGCGCCTTATGGGCTGCATTTGTGCCCTTCATCCTCCCCTATAATCATACCCATGCCTCGCAGATGTCATTCTGACAGTGTTCGAGATCTGCCTGGAGGGACCTCTGTTTCTTTGCTTTTAGCCCATTATTCTGGCCGTAGGCCTCCAGCCCTGGTCTCCTTGTTTTAGCTTGGCTTTTTTGGCCTCAGCCTGCTTTTTATTTTGGTCTCTGGGCCCCTTGCCCCATCTTGAGTTGTGCTCCAGCCTCCTGGCATCCCTGACCCAGGCTAGGCTGCTTGTTGTCTAACTCAGTCCCCTTGGTGCCCCTGGCCCAGACAGGCTGCTCCCAGGTTAACTCAGCACCCCCTAGCATCCCTGACCCAGGGCAAGGCTGCTCACAGTCTGACCCAGCCTCCTGGCACCCCTGGCTCTGGCAAAGCTTCTCACACATTGCTGGCCGCTTTAACTGGACTCAGTCCCCTGATTTCCTAGATCTGCATGGTTACTGTCCCCAGTCTCTAAATGGGTTCCCCTCACACAGCCCCTGTGGGCTCCTATCCACCCCTTTCAGCCACACCTGGTCCTCTAGTATCAATTTAAACATAATGCAAATACAAGAAACTGCTTCCTAACTAAAAATCTACCCCACTCTGGGTTTTTTACCATCCTGCACATCCTACCTCCCTTTGAGCTATCATCTCCCCACTCTCATGGGGGGCTTGAGTGCTTGCCAGCCTGTCTTTTTCAGTCCCTATCTCCCTGGAACTCAGCTCCTGGCAGCACGCAGAGCAAGGCAGCCTGCTTGCTTCAGGTGCTGGGATTACAGCTGAGTCGCATCTTACACAGGGGTTGTTCTGAAGTCAGCACGTAAGGTGAAAATCACGTATAGTTGAAATCGCCCTTCCCGCCGGGCTTCGGCACTGAGCAGCCGCCACCACCGCAGGGCCCAGACAAGGCGGGCACGGTGCTGCACAGCCCGTGCATGCAGTGCAACAGCTGCACCTTCCGCACACACTCCTCGCCCCTCTTGTCCCGCCAGGGCAGCCAGCTGAGCGTGAGTGAGCTGCTGCCCCCTAGCCATGCCGGCATGTGCAGGCATGTGCAGGCAGTACCACGTGGCACCGCACTATGCGCCATGCCCCGGCCGGCACCTGGCAGCCAGCCCCAGCAGCTGAGCATGTATAGCTGAATTTGCGTAAGTTAAATACGCGTAAGATGCGATTCGACTGTATTATGCCCTGGAGCACTGCCTCTTCCAGTCAGGCGACTCCTTAGTCAAGTACAGGGGTTTCCTTTGTGCCTAGTGGTCAGCCTGTCCCTCCCTGCTACAGCTTAACCCAGCTGGTTGTAGCCTTTACTCTCAAGCTGCCTGAGAATCTGCTCTGCACAATAAGCTTGTTGCAGTGCAGCTAGCTGTTGACCAGCTGCCTCCCTACACAGCAAAGCTAGCCTGCTCCCCCTTAAAGTAACAAGAGCCTCTGGCTCCCTCTTACAGTTCCCATAAGCTCTTTTGAAAGGAATCATTTTGTTTTCTTTTATTTTCATAGGATTCATATAGCTGCGGCGAGGGAATAAGCAATCATTTCTCCGTATGGCTTGGAAATGTAACTGTGGAAGAATTAGGGAAACAGAAGGAGAAAAATAGAATGCAGCTCCATAAAGTTATTTACCCCATAACAGTCCAATGGACTCCTCTGTACAAGCTGCTTGCTTTAACAATGAATTTGTCAACACAAGGTACGTCAACAACGTTCTAGCCCAGTGGTTTACAGTTTAAGAAAGCATACAATAGAGTCCTTAAGGAGTATGCTTCGGAAAGTCATTTCACAGTATCAAATTGTGCAGAAGACTGTCTCGGAGGGGCACTTGTTGTTCCTTTAAAATAACAGAATACCTTTCAAGTGTCATGATATATAGCGGCAGGTATTTTGTTGTAAATTGTATGACAAAGATATTTTGTATGAGAAAGAAACACTAGATAAAGGTGCTCCAGATCTGAGAAGGCTATAAACACTTAACTATTCTGGTCTTTTTACATACATATTTGGAATCTGACGGTCTTAAAACTGGGAGTTCTGACATGGCTTAGCTAGCTTTATTGGCTCTGGGACTTCTGCCTGTTTTCAAGCACAGGACAACTCGCCTGAAACTTTAGTTCAATAAACTATTTGTGCAGTCATTCAGCTGCTAGCTATAGCTGAGAAAGCAAAATAGGAGTTCAGCAAAATGGCAGCTGGTATGCAAGTCCATGTTATCAAACTGATTTTTCTGTTCCCAGGACAATGACTTGGCAGAGTGAATGGCTGGGGTGCTTTTGTATTTGTGTAGTGATTCTACTCTACCTGGAACTTCTAGTCTCTGTTTTGAAGCTTTTAGTTAACAAGCATGAATACAGAAAGAGCACCAGAATAATTAACAACGTACAGTATCATGGAATTGTTCTGACATACAACCAACCACATTTATGCTGAGCTTGGGGTAGTGGAACAGCTTATGATTCAAACTCCCAAACTGATCCCTAATTGATCTTGGTTCCAGGGCACATGCAAAAGTGAGAGAGACCTTTTTTCTGGATTTGATTATGACGCAGTCCGAAGCAACAGAAAATCTGAGAGAAGAATTCAAAAGATTTCAGTGTTATTAAATTCTGAACACTACTCATTTCTCTTTTCAAATCTGAACTCAAGTACTTAAACTTAATCCAAAGCAGAACATCAATTCTTCGGCATCCTATTTATATTGCATTTCATCACAACAAAACAAAGCCCTTTACAAAACACATAAATACTAGTCCACTAAGGATGGTATTGCCAAGTCTGAGGAGTTTGCTTCTTTATTTCCTCTGCATTCTAATTATAGATGCTTTTATTTACTAGAGCTCAGATAGCACTTGTCTGTTAGAAGTCCCTGAAATCTCATTCTGCTAAAATGAAAACATATTTCAAACACTTCGGAGAACTATTAAGATTACTGAATGTCTAGCATGGTGTCTCCAGTCTCAGAGTGGTTCAATAGATCCCCCCAAGGGAACAAGCAAACAGCATACAATTATCACAGTAATTAAAAAGGTGCAATGACTCTTCTCTTAAAAGACTCCAGTTTTATTAATTCTATGGTACACATTTGAGAATAGCATTGTTTCACTCCTCCCAGCTTAATTGTTTTGTCATTAGTTTATCAGCATCTCTTTTTAACCCGTCGAGCCAGTTATTAGCATGTCACTTGCTAGCAGCTAACCAATAACCACTACACCTTCAAAGCAAACATCTTTAGCTGTTAAAAAGCCAAATTGTAGCGATGCATTTAACACTGTCATTCATAATTTTAATTTTTCAGTTAGCTACCACTTTATGCATTTTAATTTAAGAAAGACTGCAGCACAACTTGCTAGATTCATGAAATGACAAATTATATCACAATAGTTTACTAGGTAATAAAGCACGTCTCAGTGGATACTATTTTGCAGAAATAGATACTTGTTTTAATAGTCCATCATCCCAACTGCTAAAATGACTGCAGAAAGCATACAATGCACAGATGCATAATTAAAGTTCTGAATTTTCCGTGTCTTTCTCTGAACTCTCAGTATAGTAATCCTCATTAACTCAGCCTCTAACCTTATGGTCTGTAGTCATAGGATGAAGATCAGAAAAACAAAGCAGCGCAGTTTCATTTTAAAGTAACTGAAGTGACCATGAATGGATTGAATAGACATTTCCTGTACCTGTAAAGCTAAGTACATTTTATTCACGTATGAAAAACACTTTGGCCCAAGGACCCTTGTAACTCTATGATGGATTTAATATCCAAGTTCTGACCGTCTTAATTGTTATTATATTCTAGTAAGGAAAATGTTGCAGACACTAGCATCTAGTTTCTTATGTTCCCTTTTCACAAAATGTTTTTTTTTTTTAAATTAAACCTTATCCTTCGGTCATGAAAGGAAAACTATAAGCAAAAACCAACCAGCCAGCCAGCCAATACCTACAACGGTTTGTTCAAAATGGCATAATATTGGGAATCTGAATACAACATCACCACAGCTATATCCCATGAAAAATAATATGGATGCTGACAAATACTCCTTCTATTTGCAATGCATCATTTAGTCACTGGAAGGTTCCTGGACAGGTCTGAAAGACTCAACTAACCCCTGAATTCATTGGAAATATTTCTAATTACTTGCTATGCTTTTAAAAACAGACAACTGATTAGAGAGCAGTTCTTTAACAGATAAGCATCAATACAGAACTGGGATTAATTATTTTCCTTTTTTTGTGAATTTCTCCTTGCCTTCTGCCAGCTTTGCTGCATAGAAAGGGGATTTAAATTGTCAAGGATAAATATATATTACACATTTTAAATTCCACCCTATGTTGCTCTTTTTCTTTATCAAAAAATCCAATAAAGGCGCACAGTAATATATTTCTAGGCCAAATTTAAGCTCACAGCAAGCTTCATACCTACATTTTGTATGTATCCCCAGGCATCTTAAACAACACACGTTACAAATCTGATTTTTCAGATATACAGATTCTTTATTTGCATATTCCAACTTGGGTTTTGAAAGGTAAAAATGTTTCTGAAATTCTATTGCCATATTCCTAATATTAGATGAGAAAGAACCTCAATTTTTAAAATAAATATGTAACCTTATCAACATAATCACTGAAAATACAATGCCAAAAAGAATTTGTATTGCAGTATATTTTACTTATTTTCTTACAGCTGAATAGCAAACTAACAGTAACACTACTTTTCACCAGCATTACCGTCCAACTGTCTTTCTATGATAGCCCTCAATCTTTACCTTTTTACAGGCAGAAGTCAACGCTACTAAGTACAATATTACATTATAAAGCCCTAGGTATCTTTACTACAACACAACTCACAGGATATCATTTAACAAAAGAACATACTGTCAGCTATGTCATAAAGTACTTCACAACTAAATCTTGTTTATGAATAATTGCAATTATTAAATCCATTTTTCATATCTATTCTATTCTCATTTATACGCTCTGCAAGAAATAATCAAGTTTCTTTCATTAACTCAAAAAAAAATCTAAGAAATCTAGTATTGATGCAAGGAAGATATAATGAAATAGAGAAAGCTCAACAGCATGCTATGTATCTGAAAGTCCAGTGTTTTGAAACTACATCATATTCTGCACTAATCACTGAAAGGCCCAAACAGGTATGACTTAATGTACTGTGACAATATAGGTTAGTTTCAAGGTCACCATTTGCAAACGCTAATGGCTTTTACTTAAAAAAATCATGTTGACCTTAATTCCTGCATCATGCAGGTTGAAGCTAGATGATGCCAACTGTTACTGAACTAACTTGTTGGTTTCAACATCAGTGAGATGTTTACAATTTTTCCAGCTTTTGTCTGGTACTCACCAGCACATTTCGTCCTTGTTTTAAGAGCTGGGCCAGGGGATCCGGTACCTCCTTCACCTGGTCGTGTAAGCAGCACACTGATTTCATATTCTGTATCCGGATCCAGGTGCCCAATTTTATAGCTTGTGGAGTCAACTGGTTGTATGTCATACCAAGTTCCACTTGAAGTGCGATACTCCACTTCCCTCTGAATTATGGGTCCATCCCCATTGATGGAATTGGCATTCAGCTGTATCCATAAGTATGTTGCACCAACTGAAGCCAGCTGAGGTGGAGCAATGGGAACAGGTGGCTCTGAAGCAAAACAAATGTTAAAAAATTATTCTACAAATACTTATTCTTTCCATAAAATCCAAGTAAGCAACTTTTGCTGACCCCTAGGCACCAGTATTGAGCAAGTTATGTACTCTGGGTATCTTCACACTTTGCTATCCTGATCAATCTGAAGAAACCTGCATCTGTGAAAAGTAGAATTTCTTGTGGCTATGACCCAGGCTGGAGGGTCTTGTGAGCAACATGTTGCCCTTAAGCTACCAGCTGGAGACTGGTGAAATAAACAATGATCTTTGGTAAACTATACTGGAGAGGCTGCCTATGAGAAACACTGTTATAAATGTAATTATTGGTTACAGTTTTGAACAAAACAAAATATACTATAAACTTTCTAAATGAACTCTATTAGCTTACCATACTGAGAGATGTTAACCTCCATTTTACATAAAACTGTACATAAACTGTATACAATTGTATATTACCTGTTCACCAAATGTTAAAATATGTGTATTTCTAGCATTTTTTCCATACACAATCAAGGAGTTGCATCCAAGATCAACATACATTTCTCTATAGATGTAAATTGTTTGTTATATTTACAAGTAACTTTTGGAATGAGAACTGATATTTCAGTTTACTTCTGATGGAGGCTGACTTGCTGACAAGAATAACATAATTCCCAGTTTGTACTTCTTTCTCCGTAAACTTTCAGACCTCAGGTTGCAGCCTGCTCTTGTCTAGCTGCAGGTGGTTGCCTGCCCCTGCTGCAGCCCTGGGAGTGGCAGACACTGCCTGCCTGCAGCTGCTGGGCTGAGCAAACAGTTGCAACACTGGTTAACTAGGTCCAGAGTAATGGAAGAGAATTTGGCCTAATACATCTCACCTATGCATCAGCAAAGGACGCGTACTGTTTTAATGCTCATGGGCAGGCATGTACACATGCAGGGAAGCAGAAGCAGATTTGCTGCTAATGGCAACAAACAGATCCCACTTCCTGAGGCTCTGCAATGGGCTCCAGCTGCCACTAGGGGGAGCTCCAGGCTCCCCAGGGTGCTAGCCCAAGGCCTGGCAGGGAGTACCAGGCCAGGAGACAGCTGTCTCTTTCATAGATTTCATCGACATTAAGGCTGGAAGGGACCTCAGAAGACCTTCAAGTCCAGCCCCCTGCCCTAGGGGCAGGAAGTCAGCAGGGGTCATAGGATCCCAGCAAGATAAACATCCAAATGTCTCTTGAAGGGGTTCAAAGTAGGTGCTTGAACCGCCTCTGGCAGCAGTCTATTCCAGACCTTGGGGACTTGGACAGTAAAGAAGTTCTTCCTTATGTGCAGCCTGAAACGGTCATGGAGGAGTTTGTGACTGTTTGACCTTGTTATCCCTTGGGGCACTCTGGTGAATAGATGTTCCCCCAGATCCTGGTGAGCACCCCTTATAAACTTACAGGTAGCCACCATATCACCCCTGAGCCTGCGCTTTTCTAGGCTGAAGAGTCTTGGGCAAGGCAGGGACATTACATCCTGCCCCAAGAGACTGCCTGCTGCCAAGATGGGGCCTGCTACCAGGGTGGCTCCCCAATCAGGACAGGGGGCTGGGACCTGCCCCTGACCAGGACAGTGTCTTGTGCCCTGCTTAGCTCTGTGACTTCAGAGCTGGGTGGGGAACAAACTGGGAAGCCTGTTCCCTGCTCAGCTCTGAGTGCAGAGGTAGGTGTGGAACAAGCTGGGAAGCCTGTTTACTACTCAGCTCCACAACTGTGGATCTGGTTGGGGAACAAGCTGGGTAGCCTAATCCCCACTCAGCTCCATAAGCACGGAGCTGAGTGAGGAAAAGCTTGCCAGCCTGCTCCCTGCCCCGCTCCACACTCACAAAGCTGGGCAGGGAACAGGCTCTCCAACTGCCACCAGCAGGGGAGACCCTTATCTCCCAGCCTGGGCTGCAGTTGTGGGGCTTGGGCAGATGGCTATCACCCCCCTCCGTGACTGAGAGGCTGGCTCTGGGAGATCCTGATGCTGCGGAGCTGGTGCTGGCTGGATCTGCCAGCATCCCACTCCGTGATTGTGATGGTGGAGCGGGGGGCTGGGACGTAAGGATCTAAGCATTCTAAAGGTCTGCTACTTTCTCCAAAATACTAACCGGGCAGGAATTCAGTGTTGCATTGCCAGCGAGGGCTATAATCCATATTGTACGTACCCGCTGCCCAAGTTAAAGATAGGATTTAGCAACCATCATTACATCATGTTGAAGCATGATGTCAGCTATCGAGCAAATGCAAGGAGTGGTATTAGACATACTATAATATGGTGACATTTTTACTGATTCCCACATGAATAATACACTCACTTTGGCAACAGCCCAAAATATTTTGAATGCTGCTTACTAATTAGTAACAGATACATCTTGGTTAAAATACAACGTACACTCTAGGACAATTAGAAAATAGGGCCCCCACCCAGGACCATTTAAAGAATATGAGGGAAAACTTTATTATATGTAACTATTGCATATTATATGCAACTATGATATTAAACTCTAGCTTCTCCTTTTACGGATTAGAAGTTTACTGTCTTTTTTTTTAAATTATTGTTTCTGCAGTACATAAGCTATAGCTTAATGCAGAGACTATGCATCTTTAAACAGGTCTAACTTAAATCAAAATGATTTAGCATCAATTTAAATCATTATGCTGTTCCGTGAACCCAGACGTGAAATGGAACTTTTATAGAGCAACCTAAGGCATTTATGTAGCCATGCTGAAAGAACAGTTAATTACTTTCAAGTTTCAAATGCTAGTAAAGGCTGTTGAAGTGCCATTCAAAATGTGAACTCAGGAATAAGGTCACAAAGGTTAGTGGCTACACCAATTCATTTTAAGTATTACAAGTATTTGAAATAGACATTATTTTATTGCTTTTTCATTCCTGGGGGTATTGTTTCATTCCCTTGTGACCAAAGTGCAAAATAGGTTAAATCAAGCTGTAGGGTTCTAGCAAAAACCTGCATATATTGTAGTTTTAGCTGAAGGTTGAGCTTGTATAAAATTAACCTATCACCATAAATAATGCATTTATTTTACAGTGAAAACTGGCTGAAAAATAAGGGTCATTAAGTTAAGGATAGACTGTGGTAAAAATAATAATTGAAACATTCAGTGATATTTTAATGAAAGTTACAAGCTACATGATTTCTGTAAGTTAAACCACTACATGTAATGAATTAACAAGTGTTGAACAGCCATAGGTTTTACCCAAATTATTCTTTTATCTAAGCTTTTTTACCCGCTTCTAACAAGGAGAATATTTCTATTTATGACAATGATGAATCTCAGTTGGGTACTTAATTAAGAACTAGTCACAGAGAAATGCAACAGTGAGAAGCATCAGGCTTTTTCTCTGGAGACACTTAAATGGTGGCTACTGAATAAGGTTCAAATAGATAATATTATTTTCTTAATTATTTTCTCACTTAAATTTTTCCAGTGGGTACAGTTCACAGAAGCATAGAAATCATAGAAAAATAGGGACGGAAGGAACTTCAGGAGGTTATCTATTTCCATTAAATTTAAAATATTTGGCTTTAACCACAAGGTACATGCATTCAGCAGGTGAGGGTCATTGTGGCAAAGAGTACTCAGGTAATACTTTAAATTAAAAAGAAATGTTATTGCTCACTGCACTCATGTATAAAGAAAAATCTACAAAGCTAGTTAGCACTGTACTACCCTTTTAAGTTGGGCTGTCAAGACGTACTATCAAACCATATAAAAAAAGTTGTTTGTGGATCAAATTTACTGTTTTAAAGATTGTGCAGGGGAAGAGATTTTTGGCATTTCAGATCCTTGGTGAAAGGATTTGGGGACACACTAACTTACAGAAAGCACATACTAGCTGCTTTCCTGTTTGTGTACAATACAATGCTGTTCATTGATGGCAGGTCCATGAAAAACTTTATTTAGATAGCTGTAACGGTGGCCAAAATGGATGGACCAATTAAAGTAAAACTGGGGGCATCTACACAAGATGCTTACTGTAGAATTGCTTAATTAGCTCCACAGTAAAGTGTCACCATCTACACAGGCAGAGATATTAGGCCAAAGTAAATTGATTAACTCCACCATCGGTTAGTACTTCCTGACACAAGCACTATCCTACGGTGGAGTTATTTACTCTGCCACAATGCATGTATAGATGGCGACAGAGCTGGCTGGGCCATGAGGGTGCTACAGTGCAGGGGTTGCTTGTCAGCTAGCCCCACACTGTAGCACTCTTGTGCTGCAGCCAGCCCCTCCACAGCATAAGTCAGGGCAGAGCAGCTCCAGGCTGGCAGCCTGATGCCCCAAACTCCCTGCCAGCCAGGGCTGTGCTGTCCTGGCTCAATGTGCTGCGGTCCTGGGTGCATGTGTAAACACTGCACCTGGAAGCAATAAACACTGGAGCAAACTGCACCAGAGTTTATTGTGTCACACTAATTTCACATATAGATGCCCCCACTGAAAACAAAAGTAACGCACCCAAAATGAACAGTGGCCCTTTCCTTCTGCTAAGGAAGCTGCATGTAGGTAAAAAATAAAGCCACACATGTATACACACAACTTACAAATATACACTTATGTACTAACCACAACCACTTATCAGAGAGGGAGTGGCAGGAATATGATTCCACCTTAAATTATAACTCTAACCATGTTCTGAGTAGTTCTAGTGCCTTAATGCTTGCAGCAGAGAAATGAAATTTGGCAAGGGGGTAATCCTGGAGCCAAACAGATGCCATTTGCTATCCTCATGGAAAACAATTCAGATTTAACTGAGTTGTAACACTCGAAAGAGACATTTCTTGTCTGTTAATTACTCACTTGTTCACTGTTGCATGTTTCAAGATTTCAAGGTACCTGACTTCTAAGCAGTGGCTTTTTTTAAAAAAACAGAAAAGGCTGGAATTTTGCCCATATTGAGAAAACAATTTTTTGAGGAAACTCCATATTTGGAGAAGGAGAAAAGAAATAATTCAAACAATAGTTTAAAGTTGATCAGAAATTAGGAATGTCAGAATATTATAACTTCAGAGGATATTGTTTAGCAGACAGAAAGCAGGTGAGGTGGTAAGAGCTGAATGATATTTTCAAAGGGCCTTGTATTAATACATCTAGAAACCACATCCATGTGCAGAATAATATTTATTAGGGGTGTGTGAAACAGGCCACTAAACTGGGCCGAATCTCTGCCGAATTTAATCAGGGACCAAAGCTTTGCAGAGCCCTAATATTTATCTTCCTTCCTTATTTTTAAAGACAATATTTTTCCCCTAACTTTTTTATTGTTGCAGGACCTACCATCTTCTCTGAGTACATCAAGGCTTCATTCCCAATGTGCCATTTTGAAACAGTTTGTCTCTGTTTAGGGTGAAACAGCTAGTAGCCTCCTTTCTCTTGCAAATGATAAAAATGGCAGCTATTTTGAAGGAAGGTAATTATTCTTCATGGACATCTTTCCAAAAGAATAGTATTCATTAACCCTTATCTAGCTTATGAGGAATAATGAAAAACTCCTAATCATCATAAAGAATTTCAAATATAGCCAATATACCAAATTTCTGATAGTTTTGCCTAAACTAGAAACATGAAAAGTTGGCATTACTACTTTCTTAGATTATTTAGGATGAGATATGACCTGACAAACTAAAATATCTTAAAGGACTAATTTTTTAAATAGCTGAACTCAATATTAATTAACAGGCGTAAATTCTGAAAAAATGTATTATATGCTCCAAGAGCAAGTGCTATAGATTTGAGGAAGGTATTCCTGCTCTATTTATATAGAAGAAAGTGATTGAATTCCTGCTTTAAGAATATAACTGTACTGTAACTGTGCTATCTGAATTTGTACTTCCATAATCTCTAAGCACACATAATCTTAAGTACACAACACAGCAAAAACATGGTGTGATTGTAGCCCATGTTCAAAAATCCAAGCTATTCTGGGTAACAGTAGTAGTGAAGACTGAGAGGCACCATTTACATAGTTAAAACTTCAATTATGAACTGAGTGAAAAGAAATTCATACTAAATGATATATATGAAACATTATGTGTTTTTCAAAACGTACAAACACTGGGTTTTACTTTATTTGACCTCCAATATAAGTCCTAGCAAAGTAATTCAAGAGTAACCCCAAAATAAGCTAAACTGCACTAATGTAAAATTAATTTAACATCTACTTAAAACCGCAAAACCCAGAGTATTTCTGCTACTTTGTCTCCACTGTTATTGTTACATGTGCTAATTTACGCTGCAACTATACCTTCATTTTACTATACACTCAAACCCACAATAGGGAGTGTTCCCTAATGGACACTGACACTTTCACCTGTTCCCTGCAAATTCAAACACGTTTGTCCCAGTCTCCCCAACTTGTTCACCTCTCAGTTCTACCTCTTCCCAACTCCTAACTCCTTGTCTCAGCCCCATTCTCTTGATCTAATCAAGCCCCATTTCAGCTCCTGGGCTTCTCATTCCACCACCGTGTCTCTTTGCTCAGAAAGTCCAGATCCCTGAAAAGGACTACTCATCCCTGTCTGTTTCCAGTCCAGCTGTCTTGCTCAGCCAGAGAGAAATCTTTGGTCATTCGCTTTCTCCCACCTTTCTTCCCTGGCCCTTGGTCATCCCCAACGCTCACTTTCCTTACATAAATTTCCTGAAGTTATAGGCAATGAAAAATAAGAATTTATAATGGGGCAACCTTAATAAAAAGTGGTGATACTAGATAATAGAAAGACAGGTAGACAGAAAGAAAGACAAAGGGATATGTAGGTAGAGAAAATAAGGGGTTGTCCGTTTAGATGAGTGCTCATGTATACCTAAGTTTCTATTATATTAAAAATATTCACACCCTTGACAACCAACCTTTAATATTTTCTTAAGTCTAGCCACGGCCTCAAAATTATTTTGCCCTCAATTTTAGAATAAATTCTTTGTTCCACAGGTCTAAAATGGTTCAATTCTATTCAAGGTATTAAATCTCCCATTTGAGAAAATGCAGAAATAAGCCACCAACAGCACAGATGGCTGCCCTTCCATGCCCTTACTTAAAAACCTAACAAAACTCCTCCTAACCAGTCTGACACCTGGCTTTACCTTTTTTGAACTCAATAAGCAGTTTGAGCTCTGTAATAACCTGATGTCTGCTCAGATAGGCTTGTTCTGTTCTCCTAAATCTAATTTATGTTGGATCTGACCACTATTAGAAAAGTTCAACCCATCAACTGTATGGAGAAGTCTAATTTACTTCAACAAATACATTTAATCAATTCTGCCCTACTATTTTCCTTTTGTTCAATGTTTGATTATTTTTATGTCATCTATTAAAAAAGACCTGCTTTTTTTTTTTTTTTTTTTT